CAGTTCAATCGCCAGTACCGCAAAAAATAAAACAAACAAAAAAACGAATGCAGTTCACATTCCTGGTTTTTTGGCCTGTCATGTTCTAGTTACTCCTTTTTCTAGTGTCTATATCATTACCTGTTGCTGCTTGCACCACACACACACATGCCGGCCCACACACGCACACCCACACCCACACCCACACCCACACACACACGTCAGTGGTATGGTATCCAAAACCATTCACTTCTTCCCCAGCATCCAGGGGCTCCTGGCTCTGCTCCACTTGGCTCTCAGGGCGGGGGAGGGGGCAGGCATGCCGGTTCACATCCCATTGGTCAACACAAGTCACATGGTCAGACAAGTGTGGGAAATTAGAGTCTGCTGGCTGTGAGAAGACAGCGGTTTTACAGCAAAGGACATGGGTGAAAAGAAGAGTGGAAATCAGGGTGCTGATACAACTCCTGGTATCAACACTCACCTTTCCTCAGGGAAGCCGTCCTTCCCTAGTCTCAGCCCCAGGGGTCTGGGAGACTCTAGCTCTGACCCTGGCTCCAGCGGTAGCCAGATAACTCAGGTCTGACCAGTCAGGAACCACCCTGCTCCCTTGGCCACAGTGATTGGGTCAGGAGTAGACACGTGACTCCAATTGGCCCAGTAAGAGGCAGCCCTGGGACTTTTACTGGGATGATTAGGGAACAAGCAACTCTTCTCTGAGACTGCTGACTTGGTAAGTAGTCAGCGTGGAGCTTCTAGGGACCAATGCTTTGGGAAAGCCTGCTTGAGAACTAAGCTGCCCCACAGGAAGACAGAGCTGAGAGGCACACAAGAATCTAATCCTGATGGCCTCATTCAAACCCTATGATCCAGCCATGCTTGAAGTCAGATGCCTGGTCTTTTTTAGTAATGTGATCCGGTTTGTATTCAGACTTCTTGTCACATACAACCAAAGAATTATAACTAATACTTCAGGGATATGGGGTGCAGTATTAAAAGTACCAACTTTATAGGATCACAGTGAGGCTTAAATGACATGATATGTAGAAGCAGTAAGATCAAGCCTGGCACACCTGATGGATTTACTTAATGCACAGGGATTTTTTAAAATCATTTATTAGAAGTATTTCTAATGTCTAGTACTTATTCAGCCAAGCAATTGGGAAGGGAAAGATAATAAGAAGTTATGGGGGAGAAGGTACTTGACACCATCAGAGTCAGCTCCTGGACTCAATCTGCATTCTCCAGGTAGCAGTGTGACCCCAAGAACTGGATTGTATGGCCATTCCTATACCGATACATAGTAAGAGAAATAGAGTCACAGTGGTCACGTCACCTCTGAGCCTTGTTCAAAAAGAGAATGAAACCTCTCGTTCCCCACCTCCCAGGATTACCCAGGAGACTGAATGAGATCTCGTGCAAAACGCCTGGGGTTTGAGAGTGACTGATGCTCCTTGACTTACATCCCAATAAGCTTATCAGGAGTTGTAACTATCCTAAGTGGAAATGGACTTCGTACACCTGGCCTACCGAACACCACAGGTCAGCAGCATAGAGCTCATAGGTTCACGTGTTTCCCCTTATGATCGGGGGCTAGCTGGGAGTGGTGACTCTCTCACTCTGAGAGCATTGTGCCATCTACTACTGGCCCAAGAAGAGATCAAGTATGGCTCCTACACAGTGTGGATCGTTGTGTTTTTTTGGTACCAGGGATCGAACTCGGGTCCTTGCGCTTGCGCAGCAGGCGGCAAAACCACTGAGCTAAAACCCTGGCCCTGTGGATTGCTTTTGCACCGCTGTAAAAGTCAGAAAATTCTAAGGGGAGCCATCCCACAGCTGGGACCGTCTGTACTGCCTTGGGTTCAAGCCCTCCCTTCTCCACTTACAAGCTGAGTAACAAGTCCTCAGCCATAGAGACACTTTAGCCTGGCAAGCCCTGGACGGCAGGTCACAGCAGGCTCACCATACACGGTAGCAGTCATGGCTGCCTGCAGAACGGCTGAAGGAACCAAAGGGCTTTAGCTTGGAGACGGGCAGACAAGATGCAGAGTGAGGAATCTCAAACTAAGACCTTAAACTAAAGATGTTGCTTTCTTAGGCCATCGGAAGTCATGAGCCTCCTGTCCCAGAAAGTATGGGAGTAGAGGAGTATAGGTTCAGCGGCAAAAGGACAGCAAGCATGGATTCAAGGTTGGGATAGATCAATGATTCCCAAAACCAGTCCATAATATAGTTGTCACTCTTCCTGTTAATTTTATTCATCTAACGTGGCTCCCTAATCATCGAAGGTTTTACTCATAAGTGAATATGTTATAAAATACCCCCAAGAGCACTACTTTATCAAGAAAATCAGTGACACTTATCATAAATAGGTCTCATAATTCTAAAAAGAAAATAAAATTATGTTTTGAATTTCTTTGTCACTACATCCTTCCAGGAGTTTTGAGACAAATGTTTCTCTATGGGAAAGAGATTAAGCCAGGTGTGGTAGCACGAGCTGTAATCGCAGCTATTTGGGTAGCTGAGACAGGAGGATTGAAAGTTTAAGGCCAGCTAGACAATTCAGCAAAAACTTGTCTCAAAGTTTTCTGGTTTTGGGGGGTTTTTTGTACCTGGGATCGAATTCAGGAACTTGCACTTGCGTGGCAGGCGGTAGAACCACTGAGCTAAATCCCCGACCCTGAAAGTTTGTTTGTTTGTTTTTTAACTACATTAAAAACTTTAAAAAAGGGGCTGGGAGTGTAGCTCAGTAGTCAAGTGCCCCCAATACCACAAAAAGGCGAGGATGCTGGGGTTGTACCTCAGTGGTAGAGTATTCACCCAGTATGCAACCAGACTCTGGATTCAACTGCAGGACTGGAAAAAAAAATAGAAGCACCAAACTGTTGCCTTGACATCATCAGGAGGTACTGAGAATTGAAAAGAGAACATTTTTAAAATGTGATTCGATCTCTAATGTGTCAGCTAAAAATACTTTGGCATGGCACCAGCATATGTCCTGCACTTTGAAGAAAAGTGCATCTTTAAGATCTTACTAGGCCTAGCATGTGTGTGGCCCTGAGTTCAATCCCCAGCATCAAAAATAAAATAAAATACTGGCACAAACAGAAAACCTCAAAGACTTGAAAACTTTTTAAAAGCTCACAGGTAGCTGAAAGTGTACTTAAGAGTATCGATAGCCAAAATTACTTCATCAAAATTTTAACTCTTTTAAATGAATTAAGTACTTCCCTCCAGAAGTTACCAAGTCCTGCTGAGTAGAGAGTGTTTTGATTTTGTGATTCCATGGGCCCCACAATGAGCCGCAGCCATCATTGGAGACAGTGTTGAAGGTGGAGAAAGGGCCACAGCAAAGGCTACTGGTTGCCTAGGCAATGTGGATTCCCCCATTTTCTTTTCTCACAGAACCCAGATCTTGTTGGGGTCACTTCCTTCTTCCATATTACTGGGGTTTTTTTAGGTCAATTCAATTGCTGCTTCCTGTCTAGTAATTGGCTGAAACATGAGACATGTGACATAAAGCTGGCCAATAAGAAGGGAAACAAGCTGAGGGACTTCAGGGAAAAATTTCTTCCTGCATAAGAAGAAACACAAGAAGAGCCATCTTTCTTCTTTTGATTTTGACTGGCTTTGGATGTGATGCTTGGATCTAGGATGCCATTTTGTGTCCTTGAGGGAATCCAGTATGAGCCATCACACCCAGGCAAGTGTTTGTTGCTTACAGTACCTGACACATTGTTGAAATCCAATACATAGATGCTGAAGGGATAAAGAGTGGCAGAACTGGGCCATTAATGAGTCAGAGACCTCAACCAGCCTTGATGCCCTTCTTAATTTGAGATCTCCTACTAAGACTATTACTACTCCTTTTCATTCAGCCAGAGGAAGTTTTGTGTTACTTGCTCCCTAAATCACAAACTGTGCGTGAACACTACAACCATAATCCTCTCTTCTTTGAAAAGCCCAGCAAATCACTCCATCTCTACAAAGACTGTGCCCATTTTATAGCTGAGGAAATGGAGGCAAGACTAGTCTCCAGCTCTTGACCCCAAATGCAGAACTTTCTAGAACCATCCGCTATATGTCCATTTGCCCTTTCATTATCCCTGCCTGAAGGGCACCCAAGGCAAAGCAGGCTTCTCCTTGTCACCAGTATGTGTCTGCAAGGAGTGACAGACCAGGTGGCCATCTTGTCTTCTAGCCAACTCAGGGAGAGCCCAACAAGTACAGGAGTGTTTTCACCTCAGCTGGAGTTGAGGAAGGAGAAATGTGTCCCCTCTGTCCCCCAGACCTTCTCCTGGGGCTCAGCCAGTCAGCCTCTGTCCCTTCCAGAAGCCCAGGCACAGAGAGAGACACCTGTCTGCCTCCAGAGTTGCCCCACAGACCCTATTCTGATGGGGCATATCTACCCCATGTCTGTCTGATCGGATCAGCTCCACCCTCTGCCCTGAGAACAGGAGATGGGGACCTGCTCCAGGTGCTGAGGAGGACACTGGGCCTCCAACGTGCCAGGGTCAGGCTCAGTGCAGGGAAGCTGGGGTGGCACCCGCTTCCTTCTGGCATCAGTTCCTTCCTGTCGTCCATCTTCGTCCCTCTCACAGGTGAGGGTGCAGTCCCAGAAAGGTAAAGTATCTCAATCAAGCCAAATCTCCCAAAGCAGCACCTGGGGCCAGTGTTGGGGCAGGGAGGGCCCTGCCTGCAGACCCCAACCACGCCCTCTCCACCACAGCTGCCACAGCTGGGCCTCCGTAAGGCCCACTCTTCCGGCAGGCAGGCTTTTGGGGAGGACAGAGACCCAGACTGACCAGGACGGGCCAGGGCCTGAGGGGCTGTAGGAGGTGGCATTACTGTCCCCTAAGAACGGTATTACTCCTCCCCAGCAACACTCCTCCCATTCCTTCAGTCGTTACCTTCCCTGGGGCCCGCCTCGGCCCATCCCCAGGCCACCACCACCATTACTAGCGCAGTGCAGCCCCCAACCCCAACACCCATCAGCACTGTGCCCTCACTGGCACTCTTGCCCTTCCCCACCAGCAATTCTAGCACTGCCAACACCCCGGTGTCACCCTGTGTCTGTCATCATCACCCTTGCGCCCACCATCTCCTCCATCAATAAGTGAACATTTATTGAGCACTGACGGAGGGGGGACACTACAGGACGCACAGAAAGTGCGGCCCAGCCCCAGGCAAGGAGCCCAGCAAAGCCACTTCATCATTGCTGGCGTGTGCAGGCCCCGCAGCAAGGCACCGAGGGCGCTACCTGGCCCCAGGTGGGGCTGCTCACACTTTCCTGAGAGCAGAGCAATAAATAACGGAAAGTCAGGGCAGGGTCCCAGCAGAGGCCTGAGGTGCTTAGGTGACTCCATGGGAGTGAGACAGGTGGCTGGGAACCCATCCCAGGGGAGTGGGCGCAGAAGCCTAGAGGCCAGAGGGTCCTGGGGGCTCCCCAGCATCTCCGTGGCCCCTCACCTCTGGGGGTTGCAGGTATGGAGGACACTGGGATTCGCCGCTGGAGCAGGAGGTGGACTGGAAATCGGCAGGGGCAGGGGCAGGGCCTTCTGCAGCCCTAGAGGGCGTCGTCATCTGTCCTCCACTTGGGGTAACTCTGCTGCTGGCTGTCGCAGCTGGGGTTCTCCCGGTTGTCCAGAGGCACCACCACCTCGTCAGGGCTGGAGTTCTTGTTCAGCTCCACCACTCGGGGCACCACCGAGGACCACCGATCTGGACAGGGAGGACAGAGGGGTGAGGGCTGGTGAGGGGCAGGCATGCATGGTGAGCGACTGCTGCATGCAGCACTGGGCGCCCCAGAGACCTCGCGGGGGAGGTGGTTTCACGCCCACTTTTTCAACTTGGAAACTGGGGCTCAGAGGGGCCACGGTGCCCACCCAGAAGTGCATGAGGAACCAGGATGCAAGCCCGGGTCGGGGTGCCCTGAGTGCCCTGTCCTCTCCCTCGAGGTTTAGTGGAAAGACAGAGGGACTTGTCCATCACAGGGATAGCCTGGATCTTATCCTCCACGTCCTGCCTCCCCAGCTGTGTCAGGCGTCAGGAGGGCCAGCGAGAAGCCACCAGGTGGCGCCCTAGGCATTCAAGCATCAGAGGACACCCACCGGCTGGCCAGGACCCCTCCCCAGCCCAAGGACAGGGGCGGATGGGCCCTGCTCACCCCTCCGGAGGCGGCCTACGGTGTGCGAAAAGCCGTAGTACTGGTAGGTATCGCTCTTGCCCGGGTCCTCATTGATGATGCCCAGGTTCTGGTTCCAGTGAGACCAGTTCACCTCGTCCACCCTGTCACGTCCAAGAGAGGGTCAGGGGAGCCCCAGAGAGAAGGCTCGTCCCCTCCCGAGGTCATCTCCTGGCTCTAGTACCCCTTTCCCTTGTTTCTACAATGGTGAAATGCACATAACACTGTTAGCTATTTTGATCCTTTGGGGGGAGTTAGTGTAGGGACAGAACCCAGGGCCTTCACCCTAAATACATCCCCACCCCTGTGTGTGTCTGTATATATTATGTATGTATTTTTGAAGCAGGGTCTTGCAAAATTGCCCAGGCTGGGCTTGAACTTGCAATCCTCCTGCCTCGGCCTCCCAGAGTGCTGAGATTACAGGGGTGCACCACCACACCCCGCTCGTTTCGATGATGTTGAAATATCAAACTCAGTGGCATTAAGTACACTCACAGTGTTATGCAATCACCACTCCTATCTCCAACACATTTCCATTGCCCCAAACAGACCCTCTGCCCCGTTAAGCCATCCCTCCCGGGCCTCCCCCAGCCCTGGTGGCCTGTACTTTGCTGTTTCTGTGGGTCAGTCTGTGCTGGACCATTCCTACAAGTGGATTCATACAATAAGTGGCCTTTCATGCCCGGCTTCTTTCACTCAGCTTCATGTTCTTGAGGTTCATCCATGCTATAGCAGGGGGCAGAACAACTTTTTTGTGGTGGTGGTGGTAGCAGTAGTACTGGGGACTGGACCCAGGGATTTTGTGCAGAGCTACATTCCCAACCTTCTTTTAATTTCTTAGGACAGTCTCTCTAAATTGATAAACTGCGATCCTCCTCCCCCAGCCTCCCAAGTAGCTAGGATTATGAGCATGTGCCACCACGCCCAGCCCAACTAGAGCTTCAATCCTTTTTTATGGCCAAATAATATTTCAGTGTATGGATGTACCACATTTTGTTGATCCATCCTTTCATTGATAGGCACACTCCTTCTCACTATCACTAAAGCCAAGTTACAGTTTCTTGGGCCAGCCAAATTGGCCTAATATAATTTTACTTTTTAAAATTATTTTTTGTTACTTTTCACACAACTTCTCTTTTTTCTTTTCTATTTATTTATTTATTTTTAGCAGTTGCTATGTGTCAGGACTCAGCAAGGAAGATGTATTTGATGCTCCCATTTTACAGGAACAGGAGCCTGTCGGGCTGTTTCTCCAAGGTGACAACGCTGCTAAATTACAGTTAGGATTTGAACTCTGGATTCAGTCTGAGCAGAACAGACCAGCTGACTTGGAATTAGTTGCATTATTATTATTATATGATAAGGAGATTGGATCCAGGTCCTTACACTGAGTTACATCCCCAGCCCTTTCATTTATTTATTTAGAGACAAGTTCTCTCTAAACTCAAACTGGCCTTGAACTTGCTATCCTGCTTCAGCCTCCTAAATCACTGGGATTACAGGTGTGCACCACCACGCCTAGCTGGTGGCTGCTGTTATTGTTCCCATTTCACAGATAAGGAAACTGACTTTGCCACATATCATGCCTATATTCTATGCTGGTAATCTCTTTAAAAAGAATGATCCCCCCTAAATGAAAAGAGCCACCAAGAGGCTCCCCTGAGAAGCTGGCACTCTCCATGTATCTGGAACCTAAAGCCACCCACACGCAGGCGGGCACAGGTCCCAGGCCCAGAAGCTGCAGATTCCTCTGGGTCCCCATTTCAGCCACAGCACCAAAGCCCAGCCCGGTGAAGAAACAGAGGCTGGGGGAAGGAACGTGGCTTGCGCAAGATCACTAGGTGAGACTAAATGACTGGGGCCTCAGGGCCTCCCGACGTCACAGTGGGTTGGAAGGGCAGGAGAGCAGAATACAGAGCTTGGCTCACCTGAAGCACCACCTGCGGTCCGGGGTGCCGTCTGAGCTCTTGCCCACGGTCACCATCTCTCCAGAGCGGAAGGCCTTCCTCAGGAACACGGGGAAGGAGCGCTCGATGTCCAGGATGGTGGTGGCCCACTGCAGGGAGGGAGACCAGGCCGGGACACTGGTGACCTCCCCAGCACAGGCTCACTGCCTTGATGACAGAAAGGAGCCAGAGGGCCGAGGTGGGCAGAACACCAAGTTTCCGGCTCCTACTGCCCCTAGAAATGTGCTTTATAAACTCCAGCACCCACAGGCAGCTGGCAGCAAAGGAAAGAATGAAGTGGGACAGACCAGTCCAGGCCCCGTGACACATCCTCAGCAGTGACCACGGGGTGTGAGAGTCACTAGGGCGGGGTGAGGACTGGGACGAACCAGGAAGCAAATGCCCCATGTGAAGGAGGACCCATGTTGCCAGGCATCCAGCTTTTCACAGAAAAGGCCAGAAATCTGGACTTTTATATGGAAACTAATTATTAAATATTGGATTACAATTTTACAAATAGGGAGGGTCTGGGCAAAAACAGAATCTTTGTTGGATGGATCCAGTCCACAGGCTGCCAGTTTGCATCTTGTGAGTTATATACCCAGCGGGGAAACTGAGGCCCAGGGAAGTAAGCAGGATGGGTAAAGTTTAAGAGCAGACCCAATCATTTCCCTCACACTCAGATCCAGGAAGATGACCTTGGGTTTTCACTCTACGCCACTTTCTTGAAATGCACTGGGTCAAGGTCACTGTGGGCCCTGTGGTCCCAGGCCAGGTGGTGGTGCTGTGTACAGTAAATGTCTCGGTTGGGAGCTATGCCCGGCCCAGGAGGCCCTCTGGGAAGCAAAAGCAGCGGTGTCCTGTGCCCAGGACGCCAGCCTCCACATGGGCTGCTCCTTGGTGCCCAAGCTTGCTTGGGTAACACAGTCTGGAAGCTCCACTTGCACAGGTAAAGGCTCTCTGCATGGCAACACCCATAGGTCCCCAAGCTGGGTGCCCACACCATAACAGCCTCACTTCCTGAGTCACAGTAGGAATGGGAGCTACCACTCGGCTCTGCATGGATCCCTGGTTGAAATGCTCATGCTCTCTGCTAGGGCTTAAATGTGTCCCCAAGAACCTTGTGTGCTGGACACTTAATCCCAAAGTCATGAGTTCATGGCACTTGAAGGTGGAGCCTTTGAGAGGTGATCAGGGTCAGCTGAGGTCAGGGATGGGGCCTATGATGGGATTAGTGGCTTGCTAAGAAGAGGAAGACAGCCCTGAGCTAGCACGCTTGCTCTGTCCTGCCATGGGATGCTCTACCCCATGTTCTGATGCCAACAAGGAGGCCCTTATCAGATGCGGCATCACTCTTGAGCTTCCAGCCTCAGATCATGAGCCAGATAAATTTCTATTCTTTGTATATCACCCAGTCTCAAGTATTTTGTTATAGCAACAGAAAATGGATTTAGATACTCTCTAAGTGTTGTGCCAACAGAGATCACTCAGTCATGCTGCATGGAGACAACCAGGTCCCGTGAGCTGGGCCAGAAGCCCCCATAAAATTTACTAGGTGGCCCTGGATGTAGGCAGCAGTCTTGGCTGAACATTTCACAGACAGGGAAGTGGAGGCAGAATGAGGTGCTGTGGGACCCCAAATGGAAGACTGAGGCATCTCCCCAGCTCCCCACTTTGGACGGGGTTGGGGGTCCCAGCCTTACCTGCAGCTTCCAGATGTGCTTGCTCTCCTTGGAGACCTGGCCCACCGTCTCCCCCATGAGGGCAATGAGCATGTTGAGCAGGAGCACAAAGGTGAGGATGATGTAGGTGACGAGCAGGATGATGAAGACCACGGGGTACTTGGTGCTGCTCAGCATCTCCAGGTCGCCCATGCCGATGGTCAGCTTGAAGAGATCCAGGAGGAAGGTGCTGAAGGTGTCACTGTCCCGGCACGAGGGGTATGTGGGCACCGTGCAGTTGGTCTGATCCTCGTTACACACCTTCATGTTGGCACAGGGGTTCAGGAGGGAGACCAGGGCTGTGGGAGGCACAGGGTGGCTTCACTGAGTGGGAAGACAGGAGCTGGGGGGGAGGGGGGCATTCCTATTTGCTGGATGGGAAGCTGAGGCCTGGGGAAGAGTCCGCACCAACCCTAGGTCACCCAGCAGGTAACCCAAGCTGAGTTAAATTAGGTTCTCCTGATTCTGAAGCCAGGAAGAGTTAGACACAACTTGTCATTACAAATGGGGAAAGTTGGTTCTGGCATCTAGAAGGTACAGGCCAGGGATGCTGCTCAGTACCCAGAGTGCACAGGGCAGATCCCACCACAAGAATTATCTGGCCCCAAACGTCAATAGTATCTAGGCTGAGGTCCCCTAGAGTAGCCTCCAGTAGATCCCTACTGCCAGGCCAGTTCCTAGACAAACCTGCCCAGATGTGAATGTGGCTGGTCCAGCCTGAGCTGGCCACTTCCCTTTGCATAGAGGACATTGATAGCAGACCACTCACTTCTTGACTTGGTCAGTTTCCCCACCCCTCGATCTTCCCTTATGGCCATATCTCTGAAGTCCCAGCATTCCACAGGTTGGCAGCTTGGCATCATGGGAAGGAGTATTGGAGGACTTATATCCATGCCCCATCAGTGCAGCTTTATAGCATCTCCCATCAGCAAGTCAGTCTACTTCCCCACCCTCCATCAGGCCTGGCCTTAGACTTGCTTTGGGTGACAGTGTGAGGCAGCAATGACACTCTACCAGGCAATGGCCTTGAATGCTTCTGCTCACATTCCTGGAGCCCAAAAAACCACCACATGAACAAGCGCAAGCTCACTGGCTGGAGGATGAGTAACCACAGGAAAAGAGCCAAATGCCCCAGCCAAGCCATCCTAACTAGACCAGTGTGCAGGCAGCCAATCCAGCCCCTGACCAGACAGAGGAGCCCATCAAGATCTCCCACACCTGGCCTGGGTCAATAGTGTCAGGAGGGGTAATGCCTTCCAGACCACCCAACTAGGGGCTGGGGATTTAGCTCAGTGGTTCCACCACCTGCCTTGAAAGTGCAAGGACCCAAGTTCGATCCCTAGTACCAAAGAAAAAGACAAAATCTAGACCCCCAGCTAACTAGAGACTCATAAGCAAGACTAAATGGTGGTTAGCCGGTCATGGCGTGTGCCTGTAATCCCAGCACTCTGGGAAGCTGATGCAGGAGGATTGTGAGTCTGAGACCAGCCTAGACTACATAACAAGTTCAAGGGCTGGGGATTTAGCTTAGTGGTTCCACTGCCTGCCTCACAAGCACAAGGTCCCAAGTTCGATCCCCAGTACCAAAAAAACCCAAAACAAAAAACGAGTTCAAGGCTGGCCTAGACTACAAGCAAAAAAACCAAAAAATGCGTGGCATGGTAACACACACCTATAATCCTACTCTATGAGGCTGAGACAGGAGGATCACAAATTTGAGCCCAGACTAGACTTAGCATAACCCTGTTTCAGAATAAAAATTTAAAAGGCTGAGGATGTAGCTCAGTGTAAAAGCCCTGGGTTCATGGGCTGGGATGTAGCTCAGTAGCACCACACCTGCCTCACAAGTGCAAGGTCCTGAGTTTGATCCCCAGTACCAAAAAGAAGAAAAAAAAAAAAGCCCTGGGTTCAATCCCAGAACTACAAAAATAAACACATATATTAATTAATTAACTTGTTTTAAGACACTAAGTTTTGCATAGCTTTCTTCGCAGAAATAGCTAGTGTGCCACTTTTACCAATAACCAGCTTTTGAAGCTGGGCAACTGATTGGACTTTGCTAATCCTCTATTTTCTTCTCTTTGAAAGGTAATGATAAAGGCTTGCTAGGAGGACAAGGCAGGCATGGTAACATACTCAGCCCAGGGCCTAGCACAGGGAGATCTCAACCAGTGCCACCTGCTGTCCTCAATCCAGGTTGGCAGCTGTTCCAGGCCTCATACCATCCCCCACTCCCGCACACACACACCTGGGCACCTGGGCTCACCTGAAGCATAGCCGATCATGAAGAGCAAGTAGACAAGCAGGAAGCGGAAAAGGTCTTTGAAGAGGATCTGAAGCCCCCAGTGGATGGATCATGGAAGCAAAGAGGAGAGGCATGGTTCAAATGGTTTCTCACTTTCCTCTCTCCTCCATCCCAACCTCTTTCTAGCTCCAGGCTTGTCCCTCCCTCATGCTCAGGCCACGCCTGCTGCCCATTGCACCCCACTTCCTCTGGTCTGCAGGCACCTAAGACGTGCATGTGGTATGGGTGGCTCCCTCCAGGGACACCCAAGCCCAGAGGCTCCCCTACCCATACCTTCTGGATCATGATGCTATAGGTCCCAGTCAGCTTCAACCCTCGGGTGAAGTAGAGGGCGTTCATCCAGCCCAGGACGAGGGCGAAGACCATGACGGCCAGGTAGGCCTCGATCCCAGCCAGGTAGAGGGCCGCAGAGACAATCACCAGCACAGAGTAGATGAAGCTACAGGGCAGCAGGGACCACAAAAGGGCCAGAGGGGGACAGGAGACAATGAGGTCCTGGAGAGGGAGACGCGTCCCAAGCCCTCCAGGGTACCAGGACATCTTGATGCCTTCCAGACCACCAGAAGAGAATCAAAGTGGATTAACTAGGCTCCTCAGCCTTTCATTGGCTAGAACATGCAATTAACTAAAGAGCAATCTAGGTGTAATTATTGGCCCAAACACCTACAAGACCCCAAAGTGATGCCCTTTGGAACTGATACAGTGGAGGCTTTGGGGCTACATGAATTTGTCTTGTAATTGTAAAGGAAATGAAAAAGATGTAGCACATATGCAGGAACTCCCACATCCGGTGTCCTAGGTGGACACTGTAAATCAATCACAGCTGTCTTTCTCCCACCAAACACAAATACAGCCTCCAAGTTCTCAAACGTGATCCCAGCACTCTAGGAGGCTAAGGCAGGTGGATCACAAGTTCAAGCCCTGCCCAGGCTACACAGTGACTGAGCAAGATCCTACCTCAAAAGAAAAAAGAAAAAAAAAGGGGCTGGGAATGGAGCTCAGTGCAAAGGCCCTAGGTTCAATCCCCCAGTACTGCAAAATTTTAAAAAAGCAAAAAAACAGCCAGGGATTTAGCTCAGTGGTTCTGGCACCTGCCTTGCAAGCACAAGGTCCCGAGTTCAATCCCGGGTCCAAAAAAAACCCCAAAAGTCAAATACGGCACCACTGGCAGACATTACCAATCAATTGCCGACATGAGAGGTTAAAATTATTGCCACCTATGGTGTACATGCTAACTCCCTAGCAACCCAAGTACAGTATTTCATCATCAGAAAACCCTTTTGCCTGACGTTGGCCTTGCCCTGACTTTGACTTGCCCTCCTTGTTAAGTCACTTCATCCCCCGTGCTGGATGACCTGCCAGTGCAACCCCACCGTTCTCCCCGAGGAGCTGCCAGCCCAGGGACCTCTACTCACTAGAGCAGCTGGAAGGAGCCATCGATGAAGAGAGAGTTCACTCCGGGACATTTCTTCATGAACAAGTCTTTGATCTGGAAGAGGAGAGCGGGCTGGTGACAGGGGTGAAACCAGGAGGACAGAGGAGAAGAGAGAAAGAGGAAATAAAAGAGAGGGAGCAGAGGAGGAGACAGAGACAATGGGCTCTTTGCTGTTGAGAAAAGAGGAAAGAGTAGAGAAGGAGAATAGGAGGTGGGAGAAGAAAAGGGAGAAAATATGCAGAGAAGGGGGAGCAGGGATGGCTTGGAGGAGAGGAGGAGAAAAGGGGAGCAGGGGAGGAGGCCGGGCAGCGCGGGTCACTGGGGCCAGGCACTCACGTTGGTGAAGAAGAACAGCACGCCCGTGAAGAGCGTGATGACCTCGCCGGCCAGCCTCAGGTAGTCCCCCGTGGTGCGGTAAGGGTAAGGCGGCTGCGGAGCAGGCGGAAGTCCTCATTTGTCCCTCCGGCATCTGCCCTCAGACCCAGACGTTCCCCAATGCCCCAAACATCTGGGTCTTGTGAAGCCTCCCCCTTTGGTAGCTTCCTCTTGGTTCTCCCTCCCCCCAGGGGCTCCCTGGAGGTGGGTGGACCTCCCCAACCTGTCCCTAGGCCTTCTCCATTCCCTCCCGCTGGGGACCCTGCAGGACCCGCTGTGCCCCAGGCCCGAGAGGCCCAGCCCAGTGCCAGCCCAGCTCCACCAAACTCCAAGCACTCACAGTGCCCTCCAGTGGCTGGTAGTAGGCAGTGAGGGTGAAGATGACCATGGCACACAGATAGGAGACCACGTTGATGTAGAAGGAGACAGCCCCGAACTTCCGCCACTTGTCTCGCAGCAGCTCATTGATAGGTTCCACGGCCAGCATCTCATGGCGGTTCTGTGAGAGACGGGGGTCGAGGCCACCTTCCCAATGTGGGGACCCAGACTGGCTGGTTCTGATGTGCCCCCTCCTCCACCCCCAGAGCTCTCCCTTCCTTAACCCGCCCTCCACCCAGACCCCGGGGGTGAGCATTCAGTACTCCAAACTCCAGAGCCCATCATTCAAGCCTCTGGCCAACTCTGCCACAACTTTCCCTCCCACCTTGTTCGAGAATAAAAGAACCAGAGCTGGAAAGCTCCTTAAGAATATCTATCCTCGGGCCGGGATTTAGCTCAGTGGTTCCGCCACCTGCCTCATAAGCACAAGGACCTGAGTTCGATGCCCGGTACCAAAAAAA